ATACAGTATCCGTTACAGTTACAAGAGCCCAGAGCTCCGCACTCTTCCCAGAGCGGTGCGCTACAGCGGCTGCCATGCATCATCGGCTGCACTTGGCTGCCAATTGAAGCATCAGAATGCAACACGTCTTGTGAATCCTGCGTCGAAAGGACCCAGTTACAAGACGACCTGAGTACGTTACATCTGGCGTGATTGCTGGATGGAGCGTAAAACTTCCGACAGGTGCACGTTGCTGATGCTTCCTGCTTGCAGGAGGCGCAGGCTGCAGTAGAAGCCGCGCAAAGACTCCACTTAATTCCCAAAGAACGACCTTTTCGCATCTGGTCTGCAGCGGCTCAACCAGGATAGACCCATGATTGACCTACCTACCAAGTTCCCTTGACCCTCCGATACCCACAGATAGAAGCTCGCCTCGGTTCACCGCAGAAATCTTGCATGCCTGGAATAAACTGAACAAGCCAAAACGTCAAAACTGAACTCCTCTGATTAAACTCCAAGCCGAAGGACCCCGAGCCGATGCTTCGTGTGGTGTCGTTGCCGCCGTGCAGTGTGCCTGCCCTCCGAGCCCGAGGCAAATTCGAGACTAGGGCTCATGCTTCAAGACTTCAGCAGGAACGTGAAATGATGCTGGCGGAACCAAAGTCATGCTGATAGCACGCGGTACTCGTGAAGAATCACCATCATACCGGGATACTGTATTGGCGAGAAAGTTGGAAGATGGCCCCACCTGATCCTCCCAGTTTTAAGAATGATTGACTAATAAGCCGTCAACAATTCCGACTTGAAGTCCCCTAGACTCTAGACGCAACTGCCTAGGCGCGCAAGGCTGCTGCATGTTGCGGTCGTACAATCCTGTCATGTACTTTGCAAGAACAAGTTCAGCGCTAGCTACGCATCTGCATAAATGCTCCCCCCGTGACACCTGCCTAGCTTCTGTTCTTCTGGAAGGGTTTCCCCAGTTTCCGTGTTGTCTTTACATGCCTCAAAACCAAAGTAATTACATTCAAGACATGTGTCTTTCGCTAAACGTGGCCTTTAACGACGCCTAGGACGCTAGTGTCGCAGACTTTCCCAAATCCAGATGCCACTGTTTTCAATGTTGAGTGTGTTACACACTGGTGTAGGAACCCCGCCAAGGCATTGGTTTTGCACAATGAATACAGGCTTTCCGCAAACCTACAGGCTTCCCAAACCAGTAGGTAGTAAATACCGTACAAAAAAGCAAAACGCAAAGTTCAAAATCCGAAGAGTTAGATGTGTATGGCATGGGAATATTTGAGTAACTTGTGGACCTGTGCGCTTAGCAGTCCCTACACAGTTCTCATACACAAGTGACTGCCTTCAAGTTCGCGTGTGTCATGCGTGTGTATATGCCCAGTATGTATATATATATATATATATACACATATAGTCAAGTATATTCTACATACATACCTACATACATACGTACATACATACATACATCGACATCCTGCTTTATGTCACTCTACCTCTCCTTCCCTGCGTCTCTGTTTCTAGCGGGACCATGCTTCCTTCCGCGACCCCCTTCAAGAATTTTGCAGATCAGAGGTACTTGGACCCTCAACCCTGCCTCAAACTGCCAGAAACAACCACACTTTCAACCGACGAGAAAAGCAGACCAAGAGGATATTACATGGGGGGGCATCTTTCTGGCGGAGCTGGAAGCATGAAGCGCGGTAGTTCGCACGACTCAGGCTGCAATGGAGCATTTTCAGCCAAGTTCCCACTGACGCTGTTGACATGCCTTGGACATTCATGGGCCACACAGGAAGATGCAACCTCTGATGGCTTGTGGCTGAGGTCATCCCCCCAGAGCCCCAGCCTGTACTTGGTTTCTGAGATCCTGCCACGGCTTTGGAAAACGGCCTCATCTTGTGAAGCTACATCTGCATGCATACTTGAAACCTTGGCAGCAATCCACATACTTCAGCCTAGCAGCACCTGAAAGTCAGTTGGAAACATTGCCCATGCTGATGCTAATCTATCCCATCAAGTCATCTGGTTGGAAAACATGAATATTCCGAGGCCAATGTGGGAGCTTAGAGAACTCGAACAAGGTCCCTATATGCATCAAAGGCGGAGCAGATTGACAAACCTCTAGTTCGGCTACTACGGTGCGCTTTGGAACCAGCTTTCAAACAGCCCTCCATGAAAAGCCTGAAACTAAACTATAAGCCAGCACGCTGTCGTTTTATGTAGCGTCCGGCATTTCGAGAAGGCGCCTGAGCATACAGTTGTGACGGCGTGCTTGGTCTGAAGGAACGGGGTATAGGGAAACAGATAATTGGGGGTCGACCTTTGGGGGCATGTTGGATGGTCAAGGCCCCTCAAGCGAATCTTGCAAACAACCGCGGAAAAAGGTCCAGGTGATGTTTGTGCAAGAGCACCGTGGGGGCCGGACCCCCGCATTGCCCAGGTCCGGTGCGGTGGCCCGGTGATTACGTCCAGTGTTACAGATGAACAGCATTACACAGATGCTCCCTGCAAAGTCCAGGCAGCCTCGCGTCTCGCTTTAGCTTGAACTTCTTTTGCTTGTGCCGGTTCGGTCCGCGAAAGCATAGTCGGTGCGACAAATTTCGAACAGAAGCGATTAATTTGACCGCGCTGTCCCTACCGACTTCTGTTACGTACGAATTTCCGTCTCGCCCTACCGGGGAGAGCTGTAATCATCTAAAACTCTCTTTTCACATGCATTCGTTGCACCTGCGAGGTCCAGACAAGTGACCGCACCCGTAATCATGACACTGAAATGTGACGGGAACATCCAGCAAGATTAAAGGTGTCAGGCGAGTAACGTTGTTTTTTGTTGCCTGACAGGGGAGCCCCCAGGACAGAGTTCACACGCATCCCCTCAAGCCTTTCCGTCTCTCACAGAAACCCCAACACATTGAGCACGGTCTCGGACCTTCGTGGAGCATCCAGGAAAGGACTTTGGACCCAGTACTTGGAGCAACAAGCATAATCCGAGGCTCAGGCACAGACTGGAAACGCTGAGCTGGACAAACACAACCCCGCAATCAGCGCAACTCGCGGAACAAGATCTTCGTGGTCGAGGCTACAGTCAAGCCGCAAGGTGCCGATTGTGTGAGTCGCTCATGTAATCACACCATACGGATGTAGACCCTAACTGTTGGGCGTCTTACCCGCAAGCGAGTTGAAACAAGTAATGCATTGCAGGTCGGCCGTCCAGATTCATATCGCTTCTTCGAGGGGCGCAAATGGGGCCAGGACGTTGCTCACATAATTTTGTAGAAACCTGCGAAACTGAGTGTCGACAGTTGTGCCGTAGCGCGCTGCATCAGCCCGCGAGATACAGATATCCGAAGTAGACTCGAAACTTCGAGAACTCCCGTCTCCCCTCAGGTCGAGGCAGTACGTGGCCGCTTGGCCCTCAGAATACACCCGCTCAACAAGCAGATCACCATCTTGTCAGGTCGACAGGGGAGGGATGAGCGGAGAAAGTGAGCGAGAGAGACGCTGTGCGGCTGTTTGGGACCCCAACCTTGCGGTAGCCAATGAGCTACTGCTGCTGCTGCTGCTGCAACTGCAACTGCTAGTGCTACTGCGACTCTGCGACTACTACGACTATACTACGACTATACTACGACTATACTACGACTACTACTACTACTACTGCTACTGCTACTGCTACTGCTACTGCTACTGCTAGTGCTACTGCTAGTGCTACTGCTACTGCTACTGCTACTGCTAGTGCTACTGCTACTGCTACTGCTACTGCTACTGCTACTACTACTACTACTACTGCTACTGCTACTGCTACTGCTACTGCTACTGCTACTGCTACTGCTACTGCTAGTGCTACTGCTAGTGCTACTGCTAGTGCTACTGCTACTGCTAGTGCTAGTGCTACTGCTACTGCTACTGCTACTGCTACTACTACTACTACTACTACTCCTGCTGCTGCTGCTACTACTGCTACTGCTACTGCTACTACTACTACTCCTGCTGCTGCTGCTGCTACTACTACTACTACTGCTACTGCTACTGCTACTGCTACTGCTACTAGACTACCATCAACACCTGCTAGCCCTCTGCCACGGGCCTGTCGATATCGTTGTTGACCAAACACGGAACAGTATGGAGAAAAACACACCCTTAAAATGTGAACTCCCAGTGGCTGAAACAGGTACGAGTAGAAGGTAACAGTATGCAGGCTGAGTCATTGCAAGTAGTACTCGTAGGGAACAATCAGCATCATCAAGATCATCAACATCATCATCATTGAGTCGCGTTCTTAACAGCCAAAGAATAGCAGCAGAATAAGTGCTTGAGGCTGCCAGTACGAATCATCCCCCGCACACCCACATCCCCACCCACCCATCCGGCAAGAACCGTGCTGAACCGTGCTACTCTGCCGGAGGTCGTTGGTAAGGAAGACTGCTGTTACTACTTCTGCTGCCGCTACTGCTGCATTGAGAAACTACCTGAACCGATACAACCAGTCCCTGATCGGCTTCTCGGCTTGTTCGGATTAAAGTTGAGCGCTGCAGGGTTGCGGTGGTGTAGTGGGGACCTAGGGAAGATGTGGAACAAGCTCAAACCAGTTTTCCAAAGCCCGGCAAATCCAAACCCAGTGGATCGTGGCGGCCACTGCCCGAAGACTGTGGCCAGTCTTGCGTCGATTCAGGGCCCCGGCGAAGGTGCAATCCAGGTGCTCATGCCCGTGGTGCCGAGCGGTAAGGAAGGAGTCTGATCAAAACAAGGCAGCCGACTCGCTGAAGTGCATGCAAGCGCTTCACGTCTTGGAGCCCTGCCTCAAGCCGCGAGACGGGTTTGGTCGCCGAAACTTTTGCCTTGGCACGTTGATGCCTTTCTGTTTAAGTGAACCGGCGCGGTCAACAGCCCTCAAGCCAGAGCCTCCACATGCCTCCGCCATGACAGAATGCGGGTCGTTTCAATAATTAAGAGGCGCATCGAGACAAGATTGACAAGATGCAGCCGCACCCTGGGGCTGCTGCATAGGGAAGAGACATCGACACGCCCGGTGCCTGGAGATGCTTGGCACAGACAAACGAAGACACCCCGCCTTCGCCGTGCGCCGTTACAGCACTTGCTTTGGGGGCCGGGCGAGCTCCGAAAGCTCCGTGAGGGAGACACGCCGCGCACGGCCGCCAGGCACGTGACGCGCGTCAGCCGACTCCTGCAGGAAGAGCAGAGGGGCAAAGAGTAGGGAGTATGCGTCGAAAGTTTCCTTGCGCCTCCCCGTTCTTGGGGCCCTGGCCCCCAAATCTTGGGCGTTGATTTTTCTGCGAGTCCTCCAAGTAGAACTTCACCCGCATGCCCACAGCGAGCTTGGAAGAGCCGATGCCAGGCTCGAGGTCCGAGAAGTGCAGGAAGACCTCGCCTTGTCCGGGCCTGAATAGCCAGGAGACAGCAAGCAGGCGTCGCATCACGCAGAACAAGAGATTGAACATAGGGAGAACTCGGACGGGAGAGAACGGAATCGTTAGAAAGCAGTTCGAACTAACAGTTAACAGCCTTTCAACACCCAAGGCGACAGCTGCGCATCATTATAGCATCATCATGTTTTCCTTGCCCTGGACGTGACGCACCTGCCGTCCTCGTCGTCGCGTGCAATAAAACCGAAGCCTGCGAGAAGGGTTTGGGGTTAGAGTTTGCTTTGTTTAGGGGAGGTGTTCAAGAGCTTCCTACAGCAGCGGCACAGTAGTTGCTTCTGCTCTTGGCCCTGAAGCTTCAAGCTGGCCTCTTCCGGGAAAGAGTCGCCTCACTGTGCCCGTTTCAATCGTCGTTCGGCCTTTGAATGCAATGGTTCCAAAGATCGAAGGACCAACTGTTCATTCCCACGGGCAGGCCTTGAAACTGTGACTGCGCCTGCGCTTGAGAGGACAGCACCGGTGCTGCCTGCACTTGCGAGGGTGGCGGCGATGGCGGTACGTGGCCGACATCGCCGTTGCCAGCCACAGACCATCCATGTGAGTGGGACGGGGAATGGCCGCTGTGCGGAAGCACAGGATGCTTCTCCATGGAAGTGGAACGACTGCGATGCTTCATGGCATTCTCCAACTTCTGAATGCTTCGAAACTTCGAGCCAGCCAAGCCCTCTCGCTCTTGCGCCTCGTTGGAGGACGGAGGCTGCAAGCTGACGTGGTGCGGCTGAAAATGCAGGGGTGGAGGAGGATACACTATCCTCTGTCGATAAAGCCATTGCTGAAGTTGCCAGTGCTGCCAATGCGCTTGGTGTGCTTGCCAAGGGGGAACCAGGAGCCGTGGGCCTTGGTGCTTGAACTCCAGGGGGCAGGACTCATCGTTGTTGATCTCCTTTGGATCGGTGTCCGACCCGGGAGAGGCCGAGTCCATGGACTGCAGCGTCTCTGCTTCTGAAAACTTCGTCAATGCAGCAAAGATTGACCTTAATTATGCACTTTCACTTCAGTCAGCGCCGCTGTTGTCGGAAGGCCCCGAGACGTCTGAGGAGCCGACCCCGGGCTGGCTTGGCTGTCAACATTCACCTAAAGACGCAAGATGCAAGAAGACCGCAGAAGACCTCCTTCAACTGTGTCTTCACAGTCTGCGCCTGACCGAGCTGAGATTCCATGTCCGCTGTGCCGGCTCCATGCATGGACGGCACGTGAATTCAGTTAGCACGCGAGGCTTCGAGCCCAAAAGCGACATGCGGCAGTACAAAACAGACATCCCAGCCCCAGCCGAGGCCCCACATAGTGCGACAACCTCGAACCTCGCAGGATGTGTTGTCGACATCTGGCTGCGGTTATTAATGCAGGAACGCAGCAGCCGCGACACCACTTGTTTTTAAGCGCCCTGACAGGCCAGCACACGGCTTCCACGAAATCGTTCAGACACCTCTGCTCCGGTATTGCAGCCACTGGTTTTCAGGGCAGGACAACTGTGTAAGCAGTTCGACGATTGGTACCGTCGGCAAGTGAAACTCATGGTGCAATGCTTTAGTGCCCGCCTGCACAAGGCGACTGAAGGCAACGAAATCCGAGAACGAGACTTGCCAAAAACGGACTTCGCATGACTTCTGCTTGGATCAGCCTCTCTGCGCACACTGACTGGCATTTGGGACTTCGCGAGAGTAGGACTAGGACACAAGAGACGTACGGGATTGAATGGGTTGATTCAGGCAGTAGGGACTATGGGAGTGCGAACAAAGGGTTACTGTAGTGGAAATTTCGCTCGTGTCGACTGGCCGAGATCACATTCGCCAGAAAAACCGTTATCTTCAAGATCCCAATTGACACGAAAGCTGCTCATGGGATCATGTCACCCTGCCTTAGAGAGGCGCCAGTAGGTCGGACGCCAACAGACCTGAGCTTTTGTCCCTCTGGCTTCAAGCGTGGGTGGAGGGGCGGGATTTCAACCATATGTGTGTAGGATTACGAGTGCCTTCTTCTTGGACACGTCTTTCAGCAAGGTGAACCCCACGCCAAACAGGACCATGATGCAATCGAGTCTCCAAGAACCTGATAAATTCGAAAGCCGTGTGGCCTGCAGAGCTGCGCTTCATCATGTCTGCAAAGCATCGTAGTGCAGTCCTCCTTGGTAGAGCACCTTGACAATTGTCCAAGGCATGAGATAAATAAAACAAGAAGGAAAGGCTGCAGCTATGGAAACGACAAGTGGAGTGGCGGTCATCTCACACCATTTCAATTTTCGTGGGCCCAAAAGAACTTCCCGTCGGTTTACACAGAATCCACCTGAGACCTGGACATGGATGGTGCGAACGCGGCGATCCTGGAGCCGTTCTGGGTCATGCTTCTATTTTCTCTCACCGGGACCATGCTGCTTGGCGATCCAATGTCCTGACATACTGCTCATGTGCCTAGTTTCTCATATCCCGACCCCTCCTGAAGGCCTTAGCGGGCAATTGCACGGAGGGGTCGTGCTTTGAGATATTGTGGGGATAAGGAAATGGGAGTAGCCTGCATCGCCTTACGGAGGGGTCGGTTTTGAAAAAACTGTGATTAGGCAGGGGTGCCGCGGGTTTTGAGAAAATATCATATGGAAGCTGTGGTTAGCATGTCAGGAGATGGGGTTAGTCGCATCGCCTTAAGGAAGCCACTGCAGCAGCAAGCCTGCTTTGGAGCATTGAAGCACGAGATGCGCTTGAAGGCAGAAGAGCTCCTGCATGGAACGCAAGAAGTTGACATGCAACACGTAATCTTGCACTGGTCAAACACGTGGGGGGGGGGGCGTCATGCCAGGTCAACAGATCCATGACACAAGCCAGTGTCATCCTCTGCTTCCACGACTTACCAACCACATGATGTAATTTTGCGGAACCCAAGAGCTTGCCAGCTTGCCTGGCAACGCTCGTGTAGACGTGGACGTTTATGTTCTTCATATGCGAGCAGCACGCCTCAGTCCAACTTGGTGAAGGCTTCGGCCTCCAAGATATCGGAAACGTCTAAGCCAGACGTCTCTGCACTCCAAGTATGTCTAAGTCAGACGGCAGAGCAGTTCCACCAGTCTCTCTCGCTGATCATGCAATAACCCCCAGCAGACGGCCATCGATCACAGTCTCTGTTCAATTCCTTCCGCTCCGGATTTCGATGCCAGCCCGGGTCCGCGGCCATCTCGATGCCACCTCCCCAGCCGGCCGTGCTCTGACGCCTGGCGTACCTGGTGTGGGCTGGCTTATAGGGGTCTAGAGTTTGGAGGTTCTGGGCTTGATTGCTCTCAAGCTGTCGAACTTTTCAACTGCAACAGTTCGGCTTAATTGGCTGAGGTAGCCATGTGAGCCTCAAGAACGGGGAGGGGCGTTGGGATTGATGTACGGACCTGCGCAGTATCGCTTGCAGCAGACCACCGCGGTTTATGAACCACAGTAATGACTCACGATGATTGAAAAGCCACACCATGCAACTGTTATGAGGACATTCAGAAAGCGAAACGAATTCTGCCAAGGCGGCGGAGCCGCACCCCCGCAACCCGTTCTCCCTTGCCTGATCGCAGCTGAACAGGCACATTATCAGTCTATCAGCCACACGCGAATACGTCTTTTTTCAGTAGATGCTGTGTCCAAGTGTGGCCAGCTGTGAAACAACTTTCCAGACTTTCCAGGTGTCAGCTGTGGCATCAACACCAAAAGTCCTGGTATTTCCAAGCATTATTTCCGGCATCCCTTATTCCAGTGCCCGGCGGAGCGGGGTGAAATTGAATACGCATCATTCCACGACCTGCGACCTCCGCTGCGTGAAAGCAGCGACATGAGGCACGAGGGGGGCACTCGTCCACGGACAGGTTTGAGTCCCAGCGCACCCATTCCTCACGGGATGCCAAGAAAGCTGCGTCTGTCCCCGACTCACCCTACATCGTGATTAGCAGGAGGTGAAAGCAAACGCGCTGTCCCTGGCGTAGCCGATGCAGTGATAGGCCGGGCCGACTCTGCCAGATGCCCTCGGAAACGAGTCCTCCAAGGAGTCACCGGCGATTTCCAGGCTGGGCATGTGCTTGAGGAAAAGCGCAAGCTCGACGCCTCCGCGAATTCGGACAAGGAGGAAGACAGAAAACTTTAGAAGCATGAGCCCGCAATTTGGAGTCAACAGACACCCACTTAAAGATTCCAGACTCCTCCGGCCCAGACTGTTTTCCTCTTGCACGAAAGGTGTTGAGTACGTTCACTTGCTTGATTCCATCGCAATCAACCCCCCTTCCGTGCATGAAAAGCAGCTCCCGTATGCACAGTTCGCACTGATAGCAAGAAAGCAAAGTCTGCAATAGTGACCGTCATTTCTCTGTCGCTCAGCTTCACGCGAAGACTTGTGGCATCTGTATCTCCGAGACCTGGCACAGCGGTCGCTATCCCATCCTAGATATGCAGGCGCTTGCTCCAAAATCTTGGGGTTCCTGGAATGAAGATCCTACAGTGGGAGATGTGGCTAGAGAACCTGCAGAGTTCTGGGAGCATGACGTCTAGAAATCTGGACGGATGAGGAACTGGTTTAACGATTTACGGACCTGTCCTGGGCCATGGCCATACCGCTGCAATCTCAAACATGCCGGCCACGCCGTAGCTGAGTGAGTGGTACAAGCAGCTACCATCCCCCGGCTGGCGAACCACAGCAGCATTCCTGCGAAACTACGAGCTTGGCAAGGTCATGGACTAAGCACAGTGATGCCCCAAAGAGCCTCAGTACGAAGTTGCCCGGGTTGCCACCCATCTGATGCGGATCATTCTTGCATCCATAATTCACCTCACACACGGGGATGCCGTCAGGGGCAGGACACTGCAGAATTGCGAATGCTTGGAGCCCGGCCCAAGCGTCCTTGTGCTCTTCCCTGTCCTTTTCGAAATGCGGACACCTGCCGTGGAATTCAGGGCTGGAGGGTTCTGCAAAGCTTGCTCCAGGATATCCTTGGTGGAGCCTCGAATTCCTGCCCTTTTGGCACCCTCTACTCCATGGCAACCCTCACCCCGCAGGACAAGCTCTTCCCTTCCTTGCCTTTCTGTGGGATGCGGACCGTCGCACTTGTCACAAGTGGAGCCGGAGCTGCCTGAAGAACAAGGTCGAAGCATCTACGGCTGGGTTGCTGCCGAGCAAATCATGTTAAGTTGCCGTGCCATGAAGCTGCTGATATTCTGAGTACGCATGACACGACTTGAGCAATCCCTTTTTGGATGATTTCTTAAAGCCTTGAAACATAAACCCTAACCGTAACCTTGAACTGAAAACCCATTGATAGGCCCTACATACCCCCTTTGTTAATCTCCGCCGATCGTTGCTGCGTGGCACCTTAAAGCCTTAAAGTTGCAGTCAGCAGCGGGACCCACACATACCCACACAAGGCCCGGACTTTGAGCGACATCGGCTTTGCGACACATGTCTGTGCCTCAGAGATAATCATCGACACTCCTTCAGAAGCAACAACATTTGTCCGCTTCCAAAACATGTTTCACTTCCTCGGTGTGAGGATTAAGCAGGGCACTGCAACTTGCAGGCACAGTGCTACATGGCATGCTATAGTAGTACAGTAGCATGGAAACGTCTTAATGTTATCGCCGTGTTACCGCCCTGTGGTCTTACAGAGCCTTGGTGACCGTAAAAAAATCATACCCATAGCACGGGAGTAGAAACAACATTGTGACAGCAGTGGATGAATCAGTAGAGGGCAAAACGAGTAAGAAACAGTAACAGAGTGGGGGTTGGGGAACCACGACGCGGCCGTCAACCGCATCGGTCTGAACTTCGCATTTAATATTGAAAATTATAAGTACCAGCCGTAGCAACAGTATGAACAGCCTTATTGCCGTGATAACAGCCATTCTTACTGCTACTTGGAGAAGTTCAGACCCGCAGGACTTAGGCCAAGCGCAGGTTACCAGGCGCACTGCGACCGCGCACCGGAAGTGCCTCACGGACAAGCTCAACGTGCAACTGACAATGTCTGCCAAAGATACCCTGGTCGGCATCTCAACAGTTCAGGCTTCGGACTGCCCTGACCCTCGAGCCCAAGAAAGCATGCTCAGCCAGCGGCACAGTTCTTTCCAGGTGTACCACTACCATCAGCAAGGTATCCTGAGATTTGCAGCCATCATAGCGAGGCCGAAACAGCTGTAGCTGTATAAGGAGTTTCAGGAGATGAAGACTTTCATGCTTGCTAAGGCTTTGTATGCGAGAAGTATCGAACAACTTCGGGGGGTGCACAGCTCCTCAAGTAGGATGTTTTCGGGAATAGCATAATAGCAACTATCTGCGAGCAGTGGCGTAAAAGCGCAAACCATCAAGCATTGCACGTCCTTGCAATGACATATCTTCCCTCGGCCGGGATGCTCTTATACACGCGTGCAGCAGGACCGTCATGCTCTCCCAGTACACCAACAGTGCTCTGCCCTGAACCCGAAACGTAAGAACTCGTGCAAGAGACCCACAGTGGCACCGCACAGTAGGGTTGGCAGGCGGTGGGAGTCGGGCTGCGTGCTCTCGGGATGCTTGATGGCGCCTGCGCGCTTGAGGGCGGTGACATTCGGAACCTGGCCAGAGTTCACGAAGTTGGCACGCGGTAGCGTAGATCCTGGAGCGTGGCTGTCCGGTCCGATGCTCTGTGGGGGTGTGTGGCTGGTGGCGTTCCCCGCTCGGTTCAACGCAGTGCCACCGGGGACGTAGCCATAAGCAATCTTCTGGAAGCTGTTCACCGGCTTGAGACCATACACAGCCGTTCCTTGGCTGGCTGGGAAAATGCATGGAGCCATCGCAGGGGGAGATGGTGCACCATGTGCACCGGTGTTGATCGCGTTGCCGGCGTTGTTATGCGGGGTCCAGTCCGGCAAGGACTCCAAGTCGGCAGATTCGTCCTGCAGCTTGTTGTCTTGAACACCTCAAACAAAAAGCGGAACAAGTTTTGCTCCAAAGCTGCAAACCTCCTCCGCACTGCAGATGCTGCAGATGCTGCCCATGGCTTGCGAGTGGGTCTGAACTGAACACAGGATGAGTACTTCCATCAGACCAAAGAGCACCTCACAAAATAAAGTCTGCCGCGGCGTATGAAACCTAGACCTCGACAGCAAGTCCAATCGGGTATCGTGTTCACCGCGACATGCAGCCCGTTAAGAGCTCCGACCTGTCAAACTGAGAGCCACCAGCTTGCAAACGGCGTACGCGTGGATCAGTATGTGTGTGTTGGTCGACCCGCCCTGTCATGAAAGGGAGATGGCGATGGCTCATGCCCATTCCGAACATGCCTCAATCTGCAGTTGAGCGTGTCTCCACAATTGAAAGGCCTCGCACCCTCAGTGCAGAAAGCTCGCTTTTTTTTATTCAGAAACGCAAATGTCTTAGGCGTAGTCGCTTCGTAGCGCGTCTTCTCCTGACAACCACACGCTTGCCTGCCTTGCACTCCGCGTGGACTAGGACCCTTGGAGACTGCAATCTGATCTGCCAAGCTAACAGTATGCAGGCTGAGTCATTGCAAGTAGTACTCGTAGGGAACAATCAGCATCATGAAGATCATCAACATCATCATCATTGAGTCGCGTTCTTAACAGCCAAAGAATAGCAGCAGAATAAGTGCTTGAGGCTGCCAGTACGGCAACAATCCCCCGCACACCCACATCCCCACCCACCCATCCGGCAAGAACCGTGCTACTCTGCCGGAGGTCGTTGGTAAGGAAGACTGCTGTTACTACTTCTGCTGCTGCTACTGCTGCATTGAGAAACTACCTGAACCGATACAACCAGTCCCTGATCGGCTTCTCGGCTTGTTCGGATTAAAGTTGAGCGCTGCAGGGTTGCGGTGGTGTAGTGGGGACCTGGGGAAGATGTGGAACAAGCTCAAACCAGTTTTCCAAAGCCCGGCAAATCCAAACCCAGTGGATCGCGGCGGCCACTGCCCGAAGACTGTGGCCAGTCTTGCGTCGATTCAGGGCCCCGGCGAAGGTGCAATCCAGGTGCTCATGCCCGTGGTGCCGAGCGGTAAGGAAGGAGTCTGATCAAAACAAGGCAGCCGACTCGCTGAAGTGCATGCAAGCGCTTCACGTCTTGGAGCCCTGCCTCAAGCTCACAGCAAAGATTGACCTTATGCACTTTCACTTCAGTCAGCGCCGCTGTTGTCGGAAGGCTCCGAGACGTCTGAGGAGCCGACCCCGGGCTGGCTTGGCTGTCAACATTCACCTAAAGATGCAAGATGCAAGAAGACCGCAGAAGACCTCCTCCAACTGTGTCTTCACAGTCTGCGCCTGACCGAGCTGAGATTCCATGTCCGCTGTGCCGGCTCCATGCATGGACGGCACGTGAATTAAGTTGGCACGCGAGGCTTCGAGCCCAAAAGCGACATGCGGCAGTACAAAACAGACATCCCAGCCCCAGCCGAGGCCCCACATAGTGCGACAACCTCGAACCTCGCAGGATGTGTTTTCGACATCTGTCTGCGGTTATTAATGCAGGAACGCAGCAGCCGCGACACCACTTGTTTTTAAGCGCCCTGACAGGCCAGCACACACGGCTTCCACGAAATCGTTCAGACACCTCTGCTCCGGTGTTGCAGCCACTGGTTTTCAGGGCAGGACAACTGTGTAAGCAGTTCGACGATTGGTACCGTCGGCAAGTGAAACTCATGGTGCAATGCTTTAGTTGGGCGTGCCTGGCATAAAGCAGCGTGGCACATGATGACATATGTACATGGAGGGATTAGGAGTAGTTCGTGGCGCTTCGCAGCTCAGAAGGAGCACTTCACTGCCCGCCTGCACAAGGCGACTGAAGGCAACGAAATCCGAGAACGAGACTTGCCAAAAACGGACTTCGCATGACTTCCGCTTGGATCAGCCTCTCTGCGCACACTGACTGGCATTTCGCGAGAGTAGGACTAGTACACAAGAGACGTACGGGATTGAATGGATTGATTCAGGCAATAGGGATTATGGGAGTGCGAGCAAAGGGTTACTGTAGTGGAAATTTCGCTCGTGTCGACTGGCCGAGATCACATTCGCCAGAAAAACCGTTATCTTCAAGATCCCAATTGACACGAAAGCTGCTCATGGGATCATGTCACCCTGCCTTAGAGAGGCGCCAGTAGGTCGGACGCCAACAGACCTGAGCTTTTGTCCCTCTGGCTTCAAGCGTGGGTGGAGGGGCGGGATTTCAACCATATGTGTGTAGGATTACGAGTGCCTTCTTCTTGGACACGTCTTTCAGCAAGGTGAACCCCACGCCAAACAGGACCATGATGCAATCGAGTCTCCAAGAACCTGATAAATTCGAAAGCCGTGTGGCCTGCAGAGCTGCGCTTCATCATGTCTGCAAAGCATCGTAGTGCAGTCCTCCTTGGTAGAGCACCTTGACAATTGTCCAAGGCATGAGATAAATAAAACAAGAAGGAAAGGCTGCAGCTATGGAAACGACAAGTGGAGTGGCGGTCATCTCACACCATTTCAATTTTCGTGGGCCCAAAAGAACTTCCCGTCGGTTTACACAGAATCCACCTGAGACCTGGACATGGATGGTGCGAACGCGGCGATCCTGGAGCCGTTCTGGGTCATGCTTCTATTTTCTCTCACCGGGACCATGCAGCTTGGCGATCCAATGTCCTGACATACTGCTCATGTGCCTAGTTTCTCATATCCCGACCCCTCCTGAAGGCCTTAGCGGGCAATTGCACGGAGGGGTCGTGCTTTGAGATATTGTGGGGATAAGGAAATGGGAGTAGCCTGCATCGCCTTACGGAGGGGTCGGTGTTGAAAAACCTGTGATTAGGCAGGGGCGCCGCGGGTTTTGAGAAACTATCATATGGAAGCTGTGGTTAGCATGTCAGGAGATGGGGTTAGTCGCATCGCCTTAAGGAAGCCACTGCAGCAGCAAGCCTGCTTTGGAGCATTGAAGCACGAGATGCGCTTGAAGTCAGAAGAGCTCCTGCATGGAACGCAAGAAGTTGACATGCAACAGGTAATCTTGCACTGGTCAAACACGTGGGGGGCGTCATGCCAGGTCAACAGATCCATGACACAAGCCAGTGTCATCCTCTGCTTCCACGACTTACCAACGACATGATGCAATTTTGCGGAACCCAAGAGCTTGCCAGCTTGCCTGGAAACGCTCGTGTAGACGTGGACGTTTATGTTCTTCATATGCGAGCAGCACGCCTCAGTCCAACTTGGTGAAGGCTTCGGCCTCCAAGATATCGGAAACGTCTAAGCCAGACGTCTCTGCACTCCAAGTATGTCTAAGTCAGACGGCAGAGCAGTTCCACCAGTCTCTCTCGCTGATCATGCAATAACCCCCAGCAGACGGCCATCGATCACAGTCTCTGTTCAATTCCTTCCGCTCCGGATTTCGATGCCAGCCCGGGTCCGCGGCCATCTCGATGCCACCTCCCCAGCCGGCCGTGCTCTGACGCCTGGCGTACCTGGTGTGGGCTGGCTTAGGGGTCTAGAGTTTGGAGGTTCTGGGCTTGATTGCTCTCAAGCTGTCGAACTTTTCAACTGCAACAGTTCGGCTTAATTGGCTGAGGTAGCCATGGGAGCCTCAAGAACGGGGAGGGGCGTTGGGATTGATGTACGGACCTGCGCAGTATCGCTTGCAGTAGACCACCGCGGTTTATGAACCACAGTAACGACTCACGATGATTGAAAAGCCACACCATGCAACTGTTATGAGGACATTCAGAAAGCGAAACGAATTCTGCCAAGGCGGCGGAGCCGCATCCCCGCAACCCGTTCTTCCTTGCCTAATCCCAGTTTTTCAAGCACATTATTAGTCTGTCAGTCACACGCGAATACGTCTTTTCTTTCGTAGATGCTGTGTCCAAGTTTAGCCAGCTGTGAAACAACTTTCCAAACTTTCCAGGTGTCAGCTGCGGCATCAACACCAAAAGTCCTGGCATTTCCAAGCAGCTCCAAAGATCCCGACTGGAGTTTTGCCCATGCACAAAGCATGAGATTCCACACCTTCCTATTATTTCGGCATCCCTTATTCCAGTGCCCGGCGGGGCGGGGTGAAATTGAATACGCATCATTCCACGACCTGCGACCTCCGCAGCGTGAAAGCAGCGACATGAGGCACGAGGGGGGCACTCGTCCACGGACAGGTTTGAGTCCCAGCGCACCCATTCCTCACGGGATGCCAACAAAGCTGCGTCTGTTCCCGACTCACCCTACATCGTGATTAGCAGGGGGTGAAAGCAAACGCGCTAGTCAATGCAGTGATAGGCCGACTCTGCCAGATATGCCAGATGACAAGTCCTCCAAGGAGTCACCGGCGATCTCCAGGCCGGGCATGTGCTTGAGGAAAAGTGCAAGCTCGACGCCTCAGCGAATTTGCTCAAGCTTCTGGAAAACAGAAAACTTTAGAAGCATGAGCCCGCAATTTGGAGTCAACAGACACGCACTTAAAGATTCCGGACTCCTCGGGCCCAGACTGTTTTCCTCTTGCACGAAAGGTGTTAAGTGCGTTCACTTGCTTGATTCCGTCGCAATCAACCCCCCTTCCGTGCATGAAAAGCAGCTCCCGTATGCACAGTTCGCACTGATTGCAAGCATGCCAAAGTCTGCAATAGTGACCGTCATTTCTCTGTCGCTCAGCTTCACGCGAAGACTTGTGGCATCTGTATTTCCGAGACCTGGCACAGCGGTCGCTATCCCATCCTGGATATGCAGGCGCTTGCTCCAAAATCTTTGGGTTCCTGGAATGAAGATCCTACAGTGGGAGATGTGGCTAGAGAACCTGCAGAGTTCTGGGAGCATGACGTCTAGAAATCAGGACGGATGAGGAACTGGTTTAACGATTTACGGACCTGTCCTGGGCCATGGCCATACCGCTGCAATCTCAAACATGCCGGCCGCGCCGTAGCTGAGTGAGTGGTACAAGCAGCTACCATCCCCCGACTGGCGAACCACAGCAGCATTCCTGCGAAACTACGAGCTTGGCAAGGTCATGGACTAAGCACAGTGATGCCCCAAAGAGCCTCAGTACGAAGTTGCCCGGGTTGCCACCCATCTGATGCGGATCATTCTTGCATCCATAATTCACCTCACACACGGGGATGCCGTCAGGGGCAGGACACTGCAGAATTGCGCATGCTTGGAGCCCGGCCCAAGCGTCCTTGTGCTCTTCCCTGTCCTTTTCGAAATGCGGACACCTGCCGTGGAATTAATTCCTGCCCTTTTGGCACCCTCTACTCCATGGCAACCCTCACCCCACAGGACAAGCTGTTCCCTTCCTTGCCTTTCTGTGGGATGCGGACCGTCGCACTTGTCACAAGTGTATCTGGAGCTGCCTGAAGAACAAGGTCGAAGCATCTACGGCTGGGTTGCTGCCGAGCAAATCATGTTAAGTTGCCGTGCCATGAAGCTGCTGATATTCTGAGTACGCATGACACGACTTGAGCAATCCCTTTTTGGATGATTTCTTAAAGCCTTGAAACATAAACCCTAACCTTGAACTGAAAACCCATTGATAGGCCCTACATACCCCCTTTGTTAATCTCCGCCGACCGTTGCTGCGTGGCGCCTTAAAGCCTTAAAGTTGCAGTCAGCAGCGGGACCCACACATACCCACACAAGGCCCGGACTTTGAGCGACATCGGCTTTGCGACACATGTCTGTGCCTCAGAGATAATCATCGACACTCCGTCAGAAGCAACAACATTTGTCCGCTTCCAAAACATGTTTCACTTCCTCGGTGTGAGGATTAAGCAGGGCACTGCAACTTGCAGGCACAGTGCTACATGGCATGCTAGTAGTACAGTAGCATGGAAACGTCTTAATGTTATCGCCGTGTTACCGCCCTATAGCACGGGAGTAGAAACAACATTGTGACAGCAGTGGATGAATCAGTAGAGGGCAAAACGAGTAAGAAACAGTAACAGAGTGGGGGTTGGGGAACCACGAACGCGGCCGTCAACCGCATCGGTCTGAACTTCGCATTTAATATTGAAAATTAAGTACCAGCCGTAGCAACAGTATGAACAGCCTTATTGCCGTGATAACTGCCATTCTTACTGCTACTTGGAGAAGTTCAGACCCGCAGGACTTAGGCCAAGCGCAGGTTACCAGGCGCACTGCGACCGCGCACCGGAAGTGCCTCACGGACAAGCTCAACGTGCAACTGACCATGTCTGCCAAAGATACCCTGGTCGGCATCTCAACAGTTCAGGCTTCGGACTGCCCTGACCCTCGAGCCCAAGAAAGCATGCTCAGCCAGCGGCACAGTTCTTTCCAGGTGTACCACTACCATCAGCAAGGTATCCTGAGATTTGCAGCCATCATAGCGAGGCCGAAACAGCTAAACGGGTTTTGGATGAATGTCAACTGTCATATTGTAGCTGTATAAGGAGTTTCAGGAGATGAAGACTCTCATGCTTGCTAAGGCTTTGTATGCGAGAAGTATCGAACAACTTCGGGGGGTGCACAGCTCCTCAAGTAGGATGTTTTCGGGAATAGCAACTATCTGCGAGCAGTGGCGTAAAAGCGCAAACCATCAAGCATTGCACGCCCTTGCAATGACATATCTTCCCTCGGCCGAGATGTTCTTATACACGCGTGCAGCAGGACGGTCATGCTCCCCCAGTACACCAACAGTGCTCTGCCCTGAACCCGAAACATAAGAACTCGTTGGCAAGAGACCCACAGTGGCACCGCACAGTAGGGTTGGCAGGCGGTGGGAGTCGGGCTGCGTGCTCTCGGGATGCTTGATGGTGCCTGCGCGCTTGAGGGCGGTGCCATTCGGAACCTGGCCAGAGTTCACGAAGTTGGCACGCGGTAGCGTAGATCCTGGAGCGTGGCTGTCCGGTCCGATGCTCTGTGGGGGTGTGTGGCTGGTGGCGTTCCCCGCTCGGTTCAACGGAGTGCCACCTGGGACGTAGCCATAAGCAATCTTCTGGAAGCTGTTCACCGGCTTGAGACCATACACAGCCGTTCCTTGGCTGGCTGGGAAAGCGCATGGAGCCATCGCAGGGGGAGATGGTGCACCATGTGCACCGGAGTTGATCGCGTTGCCGGCGTTGTTATGCGGGGTCCAGTCCGGCAAGGACAAAAAGTCGGCAGATTCGTCCTGCAGCTTGTTGTCTTGAACACCTCAAACAAAAAGCGGAACAAGTTTTGCTCCAAAGCTGCAAACCTCCTCCGCACTGCAGATGCTGCAGATGCTGCCCATGGCTTGCGAGTGGGTCTGAACTGAACACAGGATGAGTACTTCCATCAGACCAAAGAGCACCTCACAAAATAAAGTCTGCCGCGGCGTATGAAACCTAGACCTCGACAGCAAGTCCAATCGGGTATCGTGTTCACCGCGACATGCAGCCCGTTAAGAGCTCCGACCTGTCAAACTGAGAGCTGCCAGCTTACACACGGCGTACGCCTGGATCATTATGTGTGTTGGTCGACCCGCCCTGTCATGAAAGGGAGATGGCTGATGCCCGTTCCGAACATGCCTCAATCTGCAGGTGATCGTGTCGCCACAATTGAAAGGCTTCGCACCCTCAGTGCAGAAAGCTCGCTTTTCTATTCAGAAACGCAAGTGTCTTCGGCGTAGTCGCTTCGTAGCGCGTCTTCTCCTGACAACCACACGCTTGACTGACTAGGACCCTTGGAGACTACAATCTGATCTGCCAAGGAAACTTTTTGAGACTTGAAGTCTCAGAGCCAGCGTTCCTGGATGCTGAGGACTGCTCGGGCCGTAGAGCCAGCTTGTCACACCACGGGTTTCAGGACACCGCACGCATGCCATCCTACAACCAATCCACAGCCTTAAGAAGCAGATGGAAGTAGTGGAGCATAGTGGAACACTTCTGGCGATTTTGCGATGCAGCCAGGGTCGACAAAAGGCTCCGGCTCAAGCAAACTGATCGTTCACACCTATACAGCTCGGATATCTCTCTACAGGCCGGATCGACAAGAGGCGCGCTCTCTCTTCTGTTTGTCTGTGCTGCAGTCTCTCATGCCAGTGCTTGTTCACGTATATAGACGTTCATCTTGACGAAGTAGGAAAAGACAACTCTATGCACTCTCCCTTTGGAGGCATACACAAGCTACGGTGACGGAACTGGGCTCACATGAATGATACTTTCTTTCGTCGACTCCTTGTCTGACATGGGTACCCCGAGCAAGCGACGTAGGGTACCCAGCACAAACTGACTGCCGTACCAAGTTATCCGGCGAGCAAACAGCCCAGCACATGTGCAGAAAAGGAGGACTCCAGCAAATTCCGACAACCGCGCGACTCACGAGAAGTGCTCGAAAACGTTTGAAGCAAACAGACGAAACCTACAGGGCAATGGGCAAGGTACCGGTTTTCGCTTCAGCTGTTCTTGCCAAAGCCGTCCTCAAACCGGGTCGTTGTGGATTCTGGGAACAGAGTACGACAGAGGTTGCGCAGGTTTCTGTCGCTAAGCCGCCAATTAAGTCCGAGTGCCAGCAGACGGTGATTTCGTCTTTGGTCGACTCGCGCTGTCAGATTGGGTTGGGCCCGTTGGGCATAGGCTTCGCAAGCTTTGGGCCAGTGATTGTGAAGGGATGCGTCCGCTCCCAACATCTCGTTTTGGATTTCGACTTGCACACACATAAGCGACGAGCGTATAGTCGTGGCATCATGTTTGTACCCTTACAGTGTGTAACCGTAGATGCCAGCCCGCATCACTCCGGGGCAGCGGCGGAGCCTAGTTACGGACGAGATTCAAGAGCCACTGTACTTGGACTTGTTTATAATAGACCGTTGTCTTACAACGTGGATCCGCGTATTGCGGCCCGTGTATAGAATGGGGGTTGATTTATCAAAGGTCCAGATTTCTGCCTTGGCACATCTAACACGCCTGGTACCTCCGCGAACAAGACGAACCACGGCCTGCGCAATTTGAGTGAGCCGCCGCGTCGCCTCCAGATTCACAGAAAATAGCGAACCCTGACTCCCCGAACCCCCACATAATAGAATGCTAATTACGAGGAGCCCGGAGGAAGCTATAACTCCCCCCCCCCTCAAAAGAACTGAGCTCCAAAACGCGAGGCTCCTTGACAGCGATTCCTAGACTGTACCCTTGAGCGTTTGGGAACACCTGCTCCGGAGTGCTGCTGAATGACCTTGGCTTACGTGACCACCAGGTATTACAACTGTTCTCGGCTGGCAGAAATTGCTACAATGCTGAGGAACGCCTGTTGCCATTCCTGCATGCTACATCATGCTGCGAACCCACACTCCTACCACACAGCTCCTCAAACGAACCGAGGGTTTTGTTTCTTCGCTCTGCCATTGCATACAGGAAAGGAAAATCCCCTTGAGGGATCTCCGTCCGGCTGGGCACAACAATCCTCACAATGTGATGTTTCTGGCGTAAACAGGTTTTGCCTCAGACAAACATGCATAACGTCTTGAAACCTTCACACCTTAAAGTCACACTGTGACATCATGGCTCAGATAACAGCTGCATGGGTTGAAAACGTGCAATCTACAAGCTTGTCACAAGGCAAATCAGGGTGTATCTACAATGAATGCCCCTGAACCTGTGAGGAATCAAGCTCGCACACGCTTGTCGCAAAACAACAGTTCGACACGTCCAATGTCCAAGGTGCCCATTCTTGAAAATTACACCAGCGCAAACCCCAACACGACTTAGACTCGATGGCTGAAATAAACAAAAATCTCATGAAAAGGATGAGTAAAGGGGCACGCAAACCGCATGACACAATGGCATGTTTGCTCTGGCATCTCCAAAGCATTGGCAATTTGTGGTTCAGGGTTTAGGGTGCAATGCTGAGTGTTGAAAGCAAAGTTCTCCACCTTCGATAATCTCTTTGCAAGAACGGTCGGCAGCCCAAGTGTAAAAGCAGGATGGTCTGTAGGTTGCACTCCTTTCCAAAACAACTTTCATATCCTTCATTCTGCTTTGCGGCCTGTGGCTCCTGCGCAGAAGCCTCTGGGCATACAAACTACAGGGGGGTTGTAACTGTACAAGCGGCATGTAATTAGAGACTCCTGGCAAACCAGTGAACTACTTTGTAAGCCCGTATGCTGATTTGGACGCAATTGTCCATAGCACGTGCTTTGGCGATTGTTTGGCTGTATTGTTAATCATGTCGATTCAAAACGGGGCTTGACGGTTCTTAGCAGTGTTTTGTAGGAGGGTTAGATCGAGATCTGACGGTATGTGTTGCTGGTGGCTTTTCGCATGCTCTCAAGGAATCTTTCGTTGTTTCTTGAAGCCAATCAGCTCTTGGTCTACCTATTCTTCTGTAAAGATTTATCCACGGTGAAGTGGTTCCAAATTCGAATAGAACTTGTCTTAGCGGGTCGTACCTGTCAGCCCTGAGTATGTGTCCTAGTAATTTCATCTTTTGACTTTTCCAGCATTCCGAAAGTTTTTGAGTCTGAACTCCATAGTGTTTTATCTTGTTCATGACGCTGCTGTTACTTTGGGTTCTATCAACATGAGTAGGTGGAAATTTTGAGGATTCGCCTGAAGTTTTTCATTTGGAAAGCATCCAACTTTTTTCAGCTCATTTTGCGTTAGCTCTATGGGTTCAAGCCCGTACAAAATCCTTAATTTTACTATTACATTGAACACCTGCAACTTCAATTTGATGCTAGTGTTTGCTTTGTTCCAAAATCATTTCATTTGCTTGGCTGTGCGGCTGCTTTGGAGGCCATCGCTATTCACGTCACCACACAACCCCAAAAAATGCACTGATTCGCTCTGTATCAAAGCGGAGCTGATGTCAAATGCTGGCAATCCACATTAACGAATGCCGGCCCTTCCTGTGCGGTTTGTTCCGATGTTGAAACCAAAGCCAACACATACAAACCAGGCGATACCAGGCGAACTTGCCATTACAAAGTGGCGCTTTCTTGTTCTGGCTCTTCGAGTCTAATCGTCATCTTGTCAATTGCCTCCGCTTGCAAGCTCCCATGTGGCTCTCACGGGTGACCGTCTACAATTGCGCAAGGAAAGGCAGATGTCAGCGGCAACACGTTTGAACTCACTGGCATCAAGGCACAGCAACGATACTTTTCTGCTGCCGGCAAGCCTGTACAACGCATGAGACTTCCGTGGCGGCAAGAATCATGCTGCTTCCTGGCGCGGTGCGTGTCGGAATGGGCACCGTGTCCATTTAACAACCGGAACCGCCAAGTTTCTTGCGAGTAATTCTGAGTGAAAACTTCCCAACAACAGCTGAAATGGACATAGCGGTCTCTGACATGCAAGACCTCCAATCGGATAAACAGCAGCTGGCGGACGCTGGATGACATGCTCGGCCATCTGAAGACATGCAGACTGGGCATCACTCGTTGTGCGACCTCCCTGCGCAACTCAGCTGCTTGTTTATCCTCACGGGGATCCACACGCCCAAGCCCCCCATTCCTAGCGGCAAAGCACTGCGCGAGGGGATCTGCAAGTGGCTTCTCACTTCTATACAAAACGAAGCCACTCGCTTCACCTGCTTGCCTTGCCCTTTTGTCCGGTTACTGTCCGGTTTATGCGCGTCCTAAACTCATTCGTTGTTGGGGTGTTCATAGTTTCAATATATTTCTTTGAAGGAGCCCCGATGGGCTCCCCGTGTGACTCTAACCCCTTCTCGGCAGAAACAACTAAAATCAGAAAGAATGCTTGATGAAAGCAAGGTGAGTCCTCAGCATACCCTCAATAAGATCAGGCCTTATAAAGGTGCTTTATGGCGCGGAGGCCTGGAAGGCCCTGATGCGGTACCCCATTGCCGGAGCAATGATGACATGTGGAGCGGTGCGTCGCGTGCAGCGTAGAGTTGGGACTTTGTTCGGAGAGAAGGGCAGCAGTCAGGATGACTCAAGCGGCAGCATGCCAGCAGCTGCAAGTGCTCTAAGTGACCTGAGCTGTGCACTTGCACGGGGTAATCGGGTCTTGTCCTCTGCTATGCCAAGAATTGGTAGCCTCAGGGCACATTTTGGATTGAATGGCATCCTCCACTCTCCACTCTAAACCCTAAACCCTAAACCGTAAACTGCGGCTCATAGAAACAACGACCAACTCTGTGCAAGAGGGAACTGCGCACCTCCAGGCTGAGAGTGAGACATTTGCAACTGGATGAACTGCCGCTGGTACTCTGGCCTTTCGTGAAAAGCAGGGTCTATAGGGTTTATAGGGTTTAGGGGCAGCAACTCAAGAGCAACTCAAGCTCTGATCCAGGCCCACTTCCGCATCGAAGCAGTGGCCACATCTCTTTCACAGAGGAAACGAGACGGGCAAGATGCGGCTTCACCTTCCCAAGGGGCTGCAGTCATCCAGTTAACATAAACAAACTCATGCATCCAAACGACATGAGAAGCAAGCGTAACACAAACGGGGTCAGCCATTTAGAGCTCGTGCTCTCTGACTACAGGAAAGAACATTAACAAAGGATAACAAAGAAACCTACATTTCAACATTGCGGTCCGCACAACGTCAGCCATTGCCCTATTGGGCTGTTTTTGCTACGTCGCGCCCGGCTAAACACCTGCTTGCCCAGCGCCGAAATGCACCACCGATGCGGGTTTTGGGTGTGTCGCAGATCGCATATCGAGGAAAATCTGGATACCCGGACTACAAATATATAGCTCAGGCCAAGTAATGTGTATGTACAAGTTGTTGAAGTTGTCCAGTTGCAGTATGACCAGTTGTATCCCTACCAACGGGGTTCGAGGCTCGCGACTTCCTCTCACCAAAGTCCACCCCTACGTGCGTCTCGTAAGAGGATACCCAAGGTTGCTACCCTTGGGGGGTTGCTGGCCTTACCGTTCCGGAAACCCCCTCACTAACCGTCCAGCTGCGTCGCGAATCCTGAACAAGCAATCCAGCTTAGCCAACAGATGCTCAAGTGTCCCACTAACAGTCCAGCTACGTGGCAACACCCGAATACCCGTGGGGCACGAAGTTAGGGTTGGCAGTACCCCTTTTCACTTCTCGAAGACGAAGAAGATCCAAGTTACCCGTCAGGACGGAACGAGTACCGCGGGGGTAAAAGGCTATTTAGTTTACAAGAGAGGGCCCTCTCTTGAGCTTGCGTGGCAGCGACACCAATTCGTGATCGCATGACACGTTACCCATCATGACTGTACATGCTCAAGAGTACGAACCCGAAAAGTGTTACCCATCAACTTTATCCCCATGTCCTTACATGTACACCTCTTCGTGCTAAACAGGGTGCGCCTGCGTCTCCATGCGCTGTTGGGCCGTCTCGAGGGCTTGCCTCCAAGAAAACCACAAAAAGCGATCACTAGATCCACAGAGCCATACCTCGACCAGGCGACTTTGGGCAAACTATCTGTCAGCAGATGAGACATCACCTACCAAACGAAGTAAGCAGAACTTCCAAGTCTTTGGGAACCTGAATTTTTCTACATGGGCATTTCATAGCATACAGATTAACGGGACACACCGACTTGACAACTAGAAGCCCTAAAGCCTGCATCATGGTAGAACTTAGACAGCAGTCATATACATATATTCGCCAGCATAAGCACAACCCCCCCCCCCCCCCTAAAAGGTTGCGTGTCTTCTTCGTTTGTTGTTTTTCATCATTGTATCCCCCGCTTTGGCGTGGTGGGGTTTTGGGTTTTGGGGTTTAGGGTTTAATTAGTCGTCGGGTTTAGGGTTTAGGGTTTGCGGTTTTGGGGTTTAGGGCTAAAGGGCTCCAGGGTGGAGGGTTTAGGGTGAAGGGGGGGGGTACCTTTGGGGTGGGGAGCGGGAAAAAATATAAAAGTAGGTTCTAAGGTTTTCTACGTTTTGGGTTGCGTGTCTTCTTCGTTTGCTGTTTTTTATCATTGTATCCTCAGTTTTCCTCTACTGTTCCACCTGTTGTGTTCTATGTTTCTCATTCTTGGGGTCAAGATTTCTCACCTGTCCCCCTCTCTCGTTTTCTCATCATCATCCCCTCCTTCGTTTCTCCTCTCTCCTCTCTCTACTGTCGCCCCTTACTCGTTTTCTCCCAGACCCCTAACAATAGATTCCAGCCAGAAATCGAGTATGGAAGAACACTAATAAATGATGATATTAAGAATTGTAAGAACTGTAAATAATAATACATTATCAGTTTCGGAATAGTTTTAATGTATTTTCTGAGGGTGTAAATGAAGATATTTTTTCCTTTATTTGGTTGTTCTATATAACTGTGTTGGTAAAATGAAAAATTTAGAGTATGATGTCGCTGTTCTTCTATATGGATTGGTTGGTAATAATGAATATCCTGAACATAGAGATCTAATATTAAATGTGTTGAGCCGTGTTAACACTAACTTTTGTATTGCTACTATTTACCGTAATGTTTATGAAGATGCTGTTTGTATATTTGAACATGATTTTTCTTCTAAACATACTGAAATGTATGATGAACAAATACATGACAAATTTCAAGATGTGTATAATGATTGTTTTTAATGAGGATAAGATTAAAGAACTGAGAAAGTTATTAATTGATACATATAAAACTAAATATACTGCAGAGCGTGATATTATTGAAATTAAGGATTTTTTGTATCAGTATTTCAGAATATTTAAACATATATACCCTAACCCCCTACCAGCCAGCATATCATGAGGGTGTAGCGTTTAGGGCCATTATGTAATGCATATAGGAACCGGCCCCGGAATACTGCAACTCCGATTACACGGACCCCAAAATGGAAACAACCGAAAAGGGATTTATCTAGGTCGCAAAGGGTATGTAACATGCGTAGGTGTCTGTCTTGCAAGGGGGTTGTAGGTAGTCTCCAAAAAATCCCCATGATGCCCATAAGTATCCCAAAAAGATGCCCTTTTCTCTGAAGGCCCCATATAGAAGGAATTGTACAACAAGCCCTAACAACCCTAACAGCCCCTAAAGCCTAAACCCAAAACCCTAAACTAGGCCCTAAACCCTCAATCTGCCAAAGCTTAGCTCCGTGCTGATGATCCAATCGCTGGGCCTCCATCCGACGTTGCAAGGCCTCGGTTCTCCAGGAAGGGGTTGAAGATTTAGGGTTTAGGGTTTCTGAATGACGTTTTAAGATTGGGGTTTAGGGTCAAGGGCAGGGGCATGAACAAGTTTCGTGAATTCTGGAAGTATAAATCCGGAACCTGCAGAATTCCTGAGAGCCGCGAAAAGGTGGTACGGCAATCTAAGGAAAATCAAGTGACCTCGGAAGGTTCTGGGACGCCCATCCTTTAAGCCCTAAGCACCTCCATTCGGATTCTGGACATTGGACGTCCTGTTTCTGGGTGGGCGGTTCCCATGTACCCTTTGAATGCATCCGACCAGGGAAGACCGGGTTTTGGGCCTGTGTTGTTTTCCGGAGTTGTTCAATAAGGCTGAGCTCCCTGAGTGGCTGAAAAGCGAAGCCCCGCCTCGTTGCTGCGCAGCGCCTCCGCGAGAGCCTTCGCTTAAGAGATCTTACGAGCGAGGCTGGGAGCATAGGGTTTGCTGATTGGAATCAATAGGGCTTGGGTTTAGGTTGGTTCTGAGGGATTCGAGTTTGAAGGTGTCTTCGATGCTTGGTTGGCAACCCATCACCCGCTGGTAAGAAACCTGGGCGCTATGATGATTTAGGCGTGAAGACCTGGTAGGCCTGCCTCAAAGGCCTCTTTTGGGCCAGGGCTTCCACCAACAAAAAGGGAATTCATCAAAAATAAAGATATTAGGCTCATTTCTCAATGCAAAGGAAATTACAGCACATGACTGAAAGGTCCGCAATAAATGGGAAAAAAACAACTCGCATGGTCAGCATCTCCGACGCAACCAATGCCCAGTCCGGAAATTGATTCCGGCTTCTCTGCCTGGTGAAGCGCTCGCACAGGAAGGAGTGTCGACGGAACCTCAGTCACAAAAAGCCATTACTATTGAGGTTGCCCTGTTTTTCCAACCCCCCCCCCCCCCCCACAAGTTCCTTCGCAAACAAATTGACACAAAGAAGGGTTTGGACCGGCCTCTGCAGGCAGCGGCCCCTCCTGCCAATCATATGGACGACAGTTGCTTGGCTGAATACCGCAGCCATGAGCTTCCAATCCCACCTGGGAGCTTAGACTCCAGTCCCCCGGCGCCTGGCACAACAAAGCAATTCAGCTTGGACCACAAAGCATGGCAAACTCTAAACAAACGTGAACGCAATGTATGTATATAGAGAGATAGAAATAAATATATATATATATATATATATAAATATGTATGTATGTATGTACGTATGTCAATAACCCTGCCTTCTCCTGGTCGGCAGAAGGTACCTCTCAGCAGCGAGCCAGCCGATCTGAAAAATTGAACGCATGCCGTTACCGTGAGATCTCATGCTTCTTTCCAGTTGGTCCAGGCTTCTGCATAGTGGTTGGCGCAGACCCATCTCGCGCAGGTAAGACCCGGGCGATGACGCATTTGGGGCTCATAATAGCAAAAACCGTCCTTCCCCGCCACGAGCAAGCTCCAGAACGATGTTCCATATGACTCCTATGACCGTTTCTTGAGAAACCCAATGCCCAACAGTCACAATAGGCAGAAGTTGGTTTCTGCGGGCTCACTATCCGCATCAAGGTCCCACTCCCCTCCTTCGCATCGTGACATGTGACCTTTCATATACTTGCGGGAGATCATGTACTGTTCAGAAGGCAAACACGCTTCCAGCCCAAGCAACAGCAAGTCAGCAAGCGCAACAACAGCCCCGCAACCGCAACCCGGGTACCTCCGGGAAGGGCGAAAAAGGCGCAGCTTCCTGCCACAAGTCACATGGGTGACGCTTGCCTGGCTGAAGACCACAGCCATGAGCTTCCAATCCCACCTGGGAGCTTAAACTCCATTCGCCCGGCGCCTGGCACAACAAAGAAATTCAGCCACCATCCCATTGCACTTGACCGATGCTTCGCTGCTCTACGTGTCTGTTACCCTAAATCACCCTAGATTTGAAACACCCGGACATTGTTTTGATTGCTCCTTTGCAAAAACACCACGCAAAAGTGCCTGCTGTTGCCACTGCAAAGCCGCCCAAGCCTGAACATGGGCCACAAAACAATCGCCTGAACGTGTAGAGGCTGCTCGGCTTGTGACTACTGCAAATTCAAAACCCATGTGAGTGCCCTGCCTGCTGGTCGACAGAAGGTACCTCTCAGCAGCGAGCCAGCCGATATGAAAACGTGAACGCACGCCGTTACCATGAGATCTTATGCTTCTTTCCAGTTGGTCCAGGCTTCTGCATAGTGGTTGGCGCAGACCCATCTCCCGCAGGTAAGACCCGGGCGATGACGCATTTGGGGCTCATAATAGCAAAAACCGTCCTTCCCCGCCACGAGCAAGCTCCAGAATGATGTTCCATATGACTCCTATGACCGTTTCTTGAGAAACCCAATGCCCAACAGTCACAATAGTCAGAAGTTGGTTTCTGCGGGCTCACTATCCGCATCAAGGTCCCACTCCCCTCATTCGGATCGTGACATGTGACCTTTCATATACTTGCGGGAGATCATGTACTGTTCAGAAGGCAAACACGCTTCCAGCCCAAGCAACAGCAAGTCAGCAAGCGCAACAACAGCCCCGCAACGCAACCCGGGTACCTCCGGGAAAGGCGAAAGAGGCGCAACTTCCTGCCACAAGTCATATGGGTGACGCTTGTTTGCCTGGGAGCTTAAACTCCATTCCCCCGGCGCCTGGCACAACAAAGAAATTCAGCTACCATCCCATTGCACTTTACCGATGCTTCGCTGCTCTACGTGTCTGTATCAAGAAAGAGCTATCAATCTGTCAATCCTTACTATGTCTGGACCTGGTAAGTTTCCCCGTGTTGAGTCAAATTAAGCCGCAGGCTCCACTCCTGGTGGTGCCCTTCCGTCAATTCCTTTAAGTTTCAGCCTTGCGACCATACTCCCCCCGGAACCCAAAGACTTTGATTTCTCATAAGGTGCTGAAGGAGTCGTATAGGTAACGACCTCCAATCTCTAGTTGGCTTAGTTTATGGTTAAGACTAGGACGGTATCTGATCGTCTTCGATCCCCTAACTTTCGTTCTTGATCAATGAAAAAAATCACCCTAGACTTGAAACACCCGGACATTGTCTTGATTGCTCCTTTGCAAAAACACCACGCAAAGTGCCTGCTGTTGCCACTGCAAAGCCGCCCAAGCCTGAACATGGCACACAAAACAATCGCCTGAGCGTGTAGAAGCTGCTCGACTTGTGACAACTGCAAGTTCAAAACCCATGTGAGTGCCCTGCCTGCTGGTCGACAGAAGGTACCTCTCAGCAGCGAGCCAGCCGATATGAAAACGTGAACGCACGCCGTTACCATGAGATCTTATGCTTCTTTCCAGTTGGTCCAGGCTTCTGCATAGTGGTTGGCGCAGACCCATCTCCCGCAGGTAAAACCCAGGCGATGACGCATGTGGGGCTCACAATAAAAAACCGTCCTTCCCCGCCACGAGCAAGCTCCAGAATGATGTTCCATATGACTCCTATGACCGTTTCTTGAGAAACCCAATGCCCAAAAGTCACAATAGTCAGAAGTTGGTTTCTGCGGGCTCACTATCCGCATCAATGTCCCACTCCCCTTCATTCGCATCGTGACATGTGACCTTTCATATACTGGCGGGAGATCATGTACTGTTCAGAGGGCAAACACGCTTCCAGCCCAAGCAACAGCAAGTCAGCAAGCGCAACAACAGCCCCGCAACGCAACCCGGGCACCTCCGGGAAAGGCGAAAGAGGCGCAGCTTCCTGCCACAAGTCATGTGGGTGACGCTTGTCTGGCTGAAGACCACAGCCATGAGCTTCCAATCCCACCTGGGAGCTTAAACTCCATTCCCACGCGTCCCATTGCACCTGAACGATGCTTCACTGCTCTACATGTCTGCTAGCCTAAATCACCCTAGACTTGAAACACCCGGACATTGTCTTGATTGCTCCTTTGCAAAAACACCACGCAAAAGTGCCTGCTGTTGCCACTGCAAAGCCGCCCAAGCCTGAACATGGCCCACAAAACAATCGCCTGAACGTGTAGAGGCTGCTCGACTTGTGACAACAGCAAATTCAAAACCCATGTGAGTGCCCTGCCTGCTGGTCGACAGAAGGTACCTCTCAGCAGCGAGCCAGTGCCGTTACCATGAGATCTTATGCTTCTTTCCAGTTGGTCCAGGCTTCTGCATAGTGGTTGGCGCAGACCCATCTCCCGCAGGTAAGACCCGGGCGATGACGCATGTGGGGCTCACAATAAAAAACCGTCCTTCCCCGCCACGAGCAAGCTCCAGAATGATGTTCCATATGACTCCTATGACCGTTTCTTGAGAAACCCAATGCCCAAAAGTCACAATAGTCAGAAGTTGGTTTCTGCGGGCTCACTATCCGCATCAAGGTCCCACTCCCCTCATTCGCATCGTGACATGTGACCTTTCATATACTGGCGGGAGATCATGTACTGTTCAGAAGGCAAACACGCTTCCAGCCCAAGCAACAGCAAGTCAGCAAGCGCAACAACAGCCGCGCAACCGCAACCCGGGTGCCTCCGGGAAAGGCGAAAAAGGCGCAGCTTCCTGCCACAAGTCATGTGGGTGACGCTTGTCTGGCTGAAGACCACAGCCATGAGCTTCCAATCCCACCTGGGAGCTTAAACTCCATTCCCACGCGTCCCATTGCACCTGAACGATGCTTCACTGCTCTACATGTCTGCTAGCCTAAATCACCCTAGACCTGAAAACGCCCGAACATTTGCGACAGCTGCAAACTCAAAACACATGTGAGTCTGTGCATATATATATATATATATGTATATCGATATATATATATATATATATATATATATATATATATATATATATATATATATATATATATATATATATATATATATATAGACGTATAAATACATTTATAGTTATAATTCTATATTTTGTGTACACATGTATGTATATATATATTTATATATATTTATATTTGTATATGGATATATAGATATGTAAATGTTTATGTATTTAATTATGCACAGTAAGCCTGCTTGCTGCAGCTCGGCAGAAGGTACTTCTGAGCAGCGAGCCATGTTTGAAACTTGAACACATGTCGTTACCATGAAATCTTTGTCTTCTCTGACTGCCTAAGGCCTCTGCAGAGCATTGTGGGCCATCCCACCCGCGCTCAGGCCACATTGCCATGGACCAGAGAAAACAAGGAACCTAGACGAACATGTAGCTAGACTAACACGTCTTGCTCGAAACAAAGGGCTTCGCGGCGTTTCGTCAGACTTGCGCACAAGGCTCATGTTAGTGAAGTAACTCACCACACCATCTGCACTGAAAGATGCTCTGCAGCATGTCTTACACGAAGCCGCTTTTTGCAGGTAGCGTCAGTCGCTGCGGCTCATCGCAAATATTGCCATCGAATCCCACCTATCACCTGCCGAAGCGCAGCTGCAACTTGCGGGGCTGAGGTGGCACTCCAGCGGGCAAGGGCAAAACCATCGGCCATGTATGTTGTTTGTGGAGCCGCATCAATTTTCCAAAGGCAATCTACCAGCTGGATCATTGATAGTTGGTGTCCGAGCACATACTCGGTTGTGATAATCTGCCGCAGACGCGACATCCACCGCCTTCGATCCAGAGGGTGCAGGGAAGCTGCTATCCACTTTAAGTGCTCACAGGCACGCCTTTTCCGGGTCCATGCGCTGCAAATTACATCACTGGCTGCCTCTGGCATGGACGCCAGCAGCTCGAGCATGCAGTTTGAGATCAAGATATGGACACAAGGCATGTTTCCTTTCGCCAAGCTCTCCAGAACTGTGTGGCCCACTCGACACACTTCCAAATCAAGATCACGACAGTGCATTGCCATCGTTGGTACCAGTGATTGCATCATTCTCATAACTTCAGGCTCGGAGACTTGCGTAAACCTGATGGAGGCCTGCATCCACACCCAGGTCTGGCCTTGGATCTAGACCAAAGGCTCCGCACAAAAGATAGCATCATCAGGCTCAACCCTGAACAGCAAGAGTAAACTGAGTAAACTGTAGGTACCGCCTCTGTAGAAGGAGCCTGGCAAATCTCCCCATCACACAAAGGATCACAAGGGTATAGGGACAAAACAAGAGAAAGGAAGGGATCCAGGGGGAGACCAAACGAACATAGGCAAAACGATTGGAAGACCAAACGAAATGCTGAAAATCTATCAGCCTAGCACATCAATGCACGTCACACGACTCAATCCTTAAAGAGCCCCATCAAACACCCAAAACTAACCACTTGTTTCGCTTGAACTTAAGCAAGGCAAAAGTGACGGGGTGCATAGTCATGCCATCTGATTCAGAACTCCAGTCTAAGCCTGAGAAAAGAAAAGCGCTTCGAATCGAAGGCAAAATAAGAAAATGTCAACCGGGGGATGACAAGAAGTATGAGGTGAGACCCAGTCCACGGAGTCTGGGGAAAACAAAGGGTACACGAAGGGATCCTAGATGATGAAAGAATGGGGGTTGGCCACAAAAGGGCCCATTGTGGTTCACTTGTTGAGTTCATGCTTTGGATTTTCGTTCGTGGCATCATGCCACATCACAGTTGGTGTTCTACTGCGACAACTTTGGCAGGAAACACGCGAACGGCTTCTGCTTCTGAGGGGAAGGATTGGCTTCTGCTTCTGAGGGGAAGGATTGGATTAGAGGGGAAAAGGAGACATCGATCTCAAGATTGGAGTTCTTGCGTCGGGGTTCAAGATCCTCTTGCTGAGTTCCTTGCAGACCTCTGTTGGAGCCAGACATCCGCAGACAGTAGGCAACCAACTTCGGGAGGAGGCACAGAAGCCACCCAGGTGCTGGTACGGGCATCCATGCAAAGGTAAGAGGCGGCCATAACGTAGGCTCACTGTTGGCTCATTGCTGTAGCTATGAATCGACAGCAGTCAAACTCTGAAACCCATCGCAGGGCACCAGGCAAGACGAAGTCTCCCACGAGGGCTGTCACAGAACTGTGTCAATACGGTCTTAACGTGAACTTACATATTACCAACCTTTACTGTGTCCTCGGCTACCCAAGCCTTAATTAGAGGAATCAATCACAGGCAAGCAGCAGGTGAATACCTTCATACCAGCCCAATCTTCCGCGAAACGCAGCTTGATAAAGTGGGACGCTGACACGCCGGCTGGACAATCTTTCAACGAGTCCTGGGTCTCTGCGAAGACACGAGCCGAAGAAGGCCTGCATGCAGTCACGGAGATCAGCATCACCACATAATTGTTGAATATAAAATTGCCCGACTAGTGTTGCTCTGCTATTGCTACGGTCATGCTACGGCTATGCTACTGCTCTCTGAAGGGATCTTAAACTTGTGCTCTAGTCACCGAATGCGCTAGGAGATCGGCCCGGCCAAAAGGCGTTCAAAGGATTTCCGGGACTACGGTGGGACTACCCTGCTGCTCTGCACGTATGCTTAACGGCCCGGTGGAGCCGGTGCGAAGAAGAAGAACGACAGTCTGGTCTGGTGCCTGGTTCTCATTTACCAATGCCATTGACTTCGCATTTGTGCATGAAAAATTAGACGAGACGGTTCGCTTAGACCAGACAGCAAACACATGAGCCCTTCGAAGGCCGCTCTGAGGACTGGGTCGGTTGCCTAGACCTAGACCCAGCTGACAACAACAAGAACAGATCCAAATACTAAACATTCTAAATTCTAAGCATGGACATCAGGTTTGCTATGGTTTGCTCCTGCTCTGGCCACGGAATGCGCAAACTGAGGACAGACGTCGCCTGGCCCAGCTGCTGGTGTTCACGGCGTGCTGAAACCAGGCCTGCTCACAGCAATAAACTCCAAAACGGCCCTAACGACACAAAACTCGAGCGCGCGAATAGCTGCTCGAAAGCTGTCATGACATGAAGCCGAAATTGAAACTGAAGTTTGATGGATCCAAGTCTCTGAAAAAGCTTACCAGGCCTAGTTGCTTGGCATGGAATGTGGAGGATGCTCGGCTATAATCAAAGAAGGGGCTTGCACGCGGGACTATGTCTAGTCTAGTCATTTTCCTCGTTGGGCTGGTCATGGCTTCAGGAGCGACATGCCAAGAGCGACATGCCTCATTGCTCACAGTCGCCCCGGAGGTCACTCGAAGTTCTAGAATTGTTGGCACCTCAGGATTCATTTCTGGCAAGCGATACAGGATTGTTCTGTATGTGAAACGCAGGAGCCCCATTGCGTTCCAAGCGCGAAGAATACAAAGACGGACGACATGGCAACTTTTGCAAATTGAATTTCATGTTCAGCTTTTTTGGCTTGGCGCCTGCTTGTCAACGTTTAACTGTTCAGGGCTCGTCTACACGCTGCTTGGGTTTAGGGTCGTGAACTGGGTGACCACATAAAGCTGAAACTCTACAGACATTGTAGCCTAAACCCTAAACTCAGACAAGCCCAGGCGCAGTGAGCCACGCCAGAATCTGTTCAGAAATTTCCGACCTGGTCAGCAGATGGTCAGGAACAACCTCGAATTTCGACTTAGGGCGACTCTGAATATCAATGCGAACCCATTCACGGCCCGGACCCTTGCAAAATCCCACACAACTTTGGCGAAACAAGGCTGCACAAGAGCTTGGAGGGCAATTGGTTCCCTTAAATTTAAAAGTGTCCGCTCCTTTTCACCTAAATATAGCATCGTCTCTGCCATAAATGCTGGATCGGTTGTGGCCGGGCACATCTCCGCGGCCGTTCTGAGCCAGATTCTTTCGCAGTGGAGAATGGGTTGTTCGACAGCACTGCCATAGAACCTCCCGCAAAGGGCCATGAACCGAAGGTGGCTGTGAGCTGCGCTCCGAAGTTACGCCACGTCGTGGCAATTGGTCAGGTGGTTTCTGGCCGTTCTGAAGGCGAAGTGAAGGCGAAGCGCTGGCGCACGAAAGCTGGCTGATGCAGTGGGGTTGGGGGTAGCTGCCCAGGACAAATACAGTGCCTGGAGGCAACGGAACACTGAGGGCACGTGCACAGCTGGAGCTGCCAGGGGTCTCTCAGAAACCCCAAGAACCCTCTCCAGATGCCATCAACATTTTCAACATGAACACGGAAGCAAGCGCATGAGCGATCAACGAAGCGATCAACGAAGAAACGATCAGGAAAAGACGATCAGCGAGCAGGTGTGGTATAGGCAACCTTTTCGTCAGAGGTGCAGCACCTAACAGTCCTGACGGAGCTTTCAAAATTGACATCAGTCGACTACAGTACAGTGACCGGATGGAGGCTGCTTCGTCTTCACCATGTTTTTTTCGCCTTATCCCCTTAAGAGCTTGGGGTATGTGGATCATGCGAGAGTGGACGGGTGCTGCAGATTATCCTCCCGCAGCATCCCGCAGCCATGCACGGTCACCCAGCTGCTGCGCAAGATTTTTGGAAGTTTCGTGGACTTAGCAGTTTGAGCCATGGCGTTGCTCTGCAGGAGCCTCCAACGGAACCCCGAATTTTGGAAACCCCCTATGGCATTATGTGCGATTCTAAGGCGACAAGATGTCATGTGACGAGCCAACGGCTTGAGAGAGGCTTTGCAAGCTTAGCTATCTGGGTTGTGGGCATCAGGTTCCAGCTGACCGCCGTCGAGCCGCGTTTAGCCGTGTTTTGCCGTGGCCAAGCAAGACTCAACTTGTTGTATGAAATTTAGGTGCAGTAGACACTACACGCACTACACGGATGCTGCACACCAAGGCACAGAGCCGTAAGAGCCGTAAGGCACAACTCGCTCGGCTCCTGACACGAGGGCATTTGTCTCAGGCAGCCCAGAGTTGGAGTTGGTTTTTTGATGCGCATGCCGTTGCGGGATTCTCTAGAAAAGATGAGTGAACCCAGGCAATCTGGTCTAAACATGCGCGCCCACGCCCATTCTACAGCCTGATCTCCGAGCTGAAGCTCCGGCTCCATCGCGCAGAAACATATCAAAGCTGCAGCTCTCCTACAAAACTTTCCGTGCCCTAAAAGCCGCTATAGCCGTTAACTCTTAAACACCGCATAAGCCGCCAGAGAGCCTCCAAACCGCCGTCAGCCCTCCCGAGTCTTTGCCTCAGCAGGTTAAGCAGGCTACTCGGCCACGACCCCTCGGGGCCTCGGCCTCGTGTTATCGCGTTGTAGTGTTGGCTGCGGCCCTGCTGAGAAAACTCCCAAAGCAGTGTTGGCTTGTTTCTTCTTGGACTTATCG